ATTTATTAAAACTGGAGAAGCCTAAATTTACTTCATGTTACAGAAGCAATTATTATGATACAAAGCTTTAAACTGAACCGTCTGACAACAAACAGGATGTGTATTTAAAAATGGTGGAAAAAATCTGAAATTCAGATGAATCATTATGACGGAGTTTCGTTCTCTGAGCTGGATGGTTTGGTTATAGAGATTTCACTGTTCTTTTGAACAGTATCGTCTGAGCAAACTTCCGGTAGAAATGAAGTACGGAAATCTTTCCATATATGACTATTAGCTTCTATTGTCAACCTAGGTCTTGATTCAATATAGTTAAGCTTTAAATGAGTGATATCTGCCTCTTTATTTATACGTAGTAGGATATGGGGTTTGTGTAGTTTCGGCTGCTCTGGTTTATTAATCTTGTTTTGGAGAAAACAATCCAGCACATCTGCACAACCAAAAAAATGGAGAAAAGTATCTAACAACTGACTATCAAAATAACAACTACCCATGCTATAGGAATCCAACTCATCTTACTTACGCCTGTCATCCTCAGTGAAGCATAGGCTGATAACCAGTGTTCTCCAAACCACTCCGTCCTCGGAACGCCTTTCCGATTCTGTCCAATTTTTGTTCATTCTTGTACTATCTTTCTCTACTTCTCAGTGTAATGCGCTTGTTGGCCTTCCTCTTTTCCTTTTACCTTGTCTTGTGATGCAGTTGGGTGCTTTCCGCAGTATGTGTTCTATCCACTTCCATCGCTTCTTCCTGATTTCCTTCTGCACCGGAATCTGGTTTGTTGTTTCTCCCACAATGTTCGGACATTTCATGTACCTAAAAGAATGCTTGCTCTGGTTGTCAGAAGGAGAATAGGCCTCGTGACTCTCGAAGCAATGAGGCTTTCATCACGAGACGTCATAACTCTTCTGAATGAAGACCTAAATCCTAGGACAGATTTTAAGTGGTTTGAATTAATTTTTCTGGTTAGCGTTTTTTTAGCAAGTTAGTTTTTTATAGGATGCGGCCGACAACCATAAGTGCAACCCTTCTCCTTTATTCAGGCTTGGTACATCCAACCCATCAATAATGTTACGCTCGTCTCTAGGTATGCCTCAACTAGTACGGGTCCCCTTAGTCGAATAACGAGAACAGAATAATAAACCAGAGTTCAGGTAGGCCACTATGATTTCTTGACCCAAATGTACTAGCAATAAGTCTTGATATAGCGTAGAAAGTGCATTCTACAAACACCCAGCCAGCACACAATCAATCCAACCACTCAAATTGCGTTTATTTATACTCTGTAGAGACGTCCTTGGGAGAGTCACAAAAGTAGCACACTAAAATAACACAGTAACCAATCACAGCCAAGGATTTTCCTGATGGAAAATGTGATCTCAAGGTCAACTGATCGGTCCATGAAATAAATCCAAAATAAAGATATTTATCAAGCGAATTCTGGGGATCTAACATCCCAAAAAAATAAAAACAAAATCAAGTACGGATTATCCTACAACGTAAAATAGACCTACCAAAAACTACAACAAGATTACTGAAGCCGTTTGGAATGGGTGCGGCACACAAACTACTAAAACCTAATGAACCGATCATACGCAAACCATAGGACAAAATATTAGAGAAGCGAAACAAAATAATCACCTACAGAATAAACTATCCAAACTGCAAAACACATTACATCGGACAAATCACCTTCGCCTGCATGAACACCAATAAGTAGTCAATCCCTATCTTATATATCCCCTTATATCAATGTATGTGGAAAAATGCTGACAATTCCAACTGAAAAAATGTTGAAACCCTGGATAGAGAGAATACTAAAAATATCAGAAAATTGTAAGACGCTTGGCTCTGAGGTTTTTTAATAATCAATAAACACATAGAGACATTGACTCAATTTATCAACCAATCGGAAAAATCATAGACTAGCATAGAGTCAAGAATCAGATCAAAGGACGATGCAATCAAAATAACAAGTTAATAACACCCAATCAACAACGCGGTTGACAGCACAAACTATGAGTCATTAAAATGGTGAAATTGGAATACTTGACATCTACCTGCAGTCTTTGCCGATGTTATTCTGAAGGCTCCACAACCAAATCATTCAGCTCCGAAGGGAAACTCCATCATAAGAAAGTGCATTACACCGTGTACTGTGCTACCAATGCAGTTAGCGGTACAAGTAAGATCTGGCACCCCTCATTTGGATAAACCTGTATGTACCCCAGTATAGAATATTCGTAATAATTACTCCAAAGTCCTATGAGTTTTATTTCTGTAAACACTGATCTCGTAGTTTACTTACAAATAATACTTTACATTTCTAGCTACTTTTACAGCTGACGAGAAATAGCGGAGTTTACTCCAATTCCCATAGACAGTTGGCACTTAACTAGAGACCTCAAGTTCGAAATTCACTTGGCTTGATTGAATTTACGTAGCATAAATTCAAATCCGTTACGATAATACAATGAATAGGTGACAATAACATTGAGACAGCGCATAAAATTAACATCAAGACAGCCTTCAAAACATTCTATAGAAACGTTGCCTATTCATAAATTAAAATCCCACTTATGTGTACAGAAACAGTTAGTTATAACTTTGAATTTACCCTGGTAATCTTTAACTCATTTTTATGGCCTGAGTATAATGTGACAATTTCCTACCCTTTTTCTTATTCTTTCTATATTAGGTTAATTTTCTCTCATCTTCATTTTCGCAATTATCACCTTATGTCTATTTGAACTTTTATTTATTGAACTGACCTTATACTAATATGCATTATGGGATTGTGAAGATTGTTAAGTTACACATTTTTGAAACCATGAATCGATCAATGTTAGATCACCATTAGAAACCTGGAAGCACTGGACGGCCGTTTCGTCCTGGTATGGGATTCATCAGTGGCAGTGTGCATCCACGACTCCTGCACCTCGCAGAATTCGAACCCAGGACCTTCGTTATTGTGCGCGAATGCCCTAACCGTTAGACCACTGAGCCGGTATCCAACGGTGCTAATGTCTAACTTGATCAAATTCACGGAGTTGCGCAACCTCATACACAGTCTTCGGTAGACACTGCCTACACCCGAACAGGTTGAACTTCACTGGTCACGTCATCCCACTAGAAGATTTCTCACGAAGCTAGTCACTAGTGAGCACAGGCAATTTGCATTACGGGATTGTGAAGATTGTTAAGTTACACATTTTTTTCTTGAAACCATGGATCGATCAATGTTAGATCACCATTAGAAACCTGGAAGCACTGGACGGCAGTTTCGTCCTGGTATGGGACTCCTCAGCAGTGACCTTTTATTAATTCTTATATAAAATGACTTGATAAGTGCATGTGTGTGTGACCAAATTGTTCACGATGTGTATAGCGCAAATACATCGAAACATTTTTCAGATCAATTAAGGTTAATTTGGACGGTTAATTTTTGTATGCAATACGTACTATTTTTTTCTTGATTACTGATACTTGAGTAGACGAATAATGTATTTTGCTATATCGTAACATAAAATTGTAGTGAATGGTTAAGTTCTTTTATTAAGACTTGATCAGTCAATAAATAACTTGACATACTTGACATCACCTACATTATTAGTAAACATGAATCAAAGTCTACACAAATAGAAGATATATAGTGATCAGTCAGTTACAATGTAGAACTTTGTACGTAAGTGCGGCTGCTATCAGTTCAAAACCCATAATGGTAAAGATAATAGAACTATCAGCAGTTATGAAGTAGACTAGGGTTCGAAGATATAATACAAGAAGTATAATTTAGTGAGATAAACTTAAAAAGAGAGAGAGATAGACGTGAGAGGAAATTCTGAAGATTAGAATCTGAGAGAACATAACGAGCGGATACACCTGCATATATAGTGATCAGCGGTATATTTTTCCTCAAAGGAATCTATCTATTCATCACATTAGTCAGAGTAATTAATCCTGCAGCACCTCATCATTACATGTCTAGCTTATTATTGCCTGACTATAATTAGTCATGGCTCACTCGCCTTTTCCAATGAGCTTAGCTTTGCCTGTACACTTTCCCTCTCATGTTTGTCAGCATAAAAAATAAATTCATCCGCGAAACCATTTTTGAACTTATCATTACCACCGTCTCACAAACAAGATTTGCCTAAGAATTCAATATACGGCAATGGAAAGGAGTCAGTCAGTCAGATGCAACGTAGAACTTCCTACGTAGGTACATCAGTTCATGTCGCCAGACCACATCAGCACAGAGATGTAATTGTTAATTCAAATCCAATGGTAGAAGATGTTGTAAAGGTATTAGAAGTAATCGGAGAGGTTAGGATTAGAAGATATTATTGACGAAGTATGATTAAATGAGAAAAGTTTAGAAAGTTGAAGAATCCAGAAGATTAGGATTTGAGAGAACACAAAGAATAAATGCACCTAGGCCATTGCGATACGATTTTTGAGCCATGTCATTCAAGGTCTCTAACCATCGATTATTATCATCTCGCGGACCCCAACCAGGTAGTCGACAATTACCGACATGGCTAAGTCCACTCGTCAATGACTTCATGGATTTCTGCCATGTTTTGGTTTTGGCCGCCCCTAACTTTCTTCCAACCTACTCACTCCTACACTACAAAACAAAGCTCTTCGAGGCAGTCGGTGGTTAGGCATACGCAACACATGGGAAGGAAGACATATTTCATTGCACACTACTCAATTATTCATTCATCCAAAAATGGATTTCATTCGTGAGCAGCCAAAAAATTTGACATCAAAACAATTTTGACTACTCATAGTAGTGTATTTTAATTGTTACACAAAAATAATAATAATACATACTGTGGATGATTGTGTTTACCACCAACAAGTCAGTAAGTAGTTGGTTAGTTAGTTAGTTAGTTACAATGAAAGAAAACAAAAACTTCCATTGAATAATAATGACAATAATAATCGTTGAATGTATACAAACACACTACTATTACTACGGCTAGTAGTAGTATTGTTCATTGAAATGGTAAACATCTTGGATTGAAATTGTTTTGATTATGTATACTATTATTATTATTATTATTATTATTGTTATTATTATTATTATTACTATTATTATGATTATTATTCAAATTGTTACTATTAGTCAATGTATTCCAATTCGGATTGGTAGTTCGTAGTGTATTTGTAATTAAAGAGGTAGCATTCATTGGATTAGTCGACTGGAAATAAAGGCAGAAAAAAAAAACAAAGCAAAGAATATTAAGAGAAAAACACGAATGAGGTTGGTAAAACAGTATTTTTTGACTAGACAAGTAATCATACTAATTAATCAGTTAGTTAGTCGGTTAAAACGTAGAACTTCGTATGTATCAGTGTATCAGTTCAAGTTACTACTACGCCACATTAATAATATACACAGAGATGCAATGGTCGGTTCAAATCCGGTTTAAAATCGTTTGTAATGGCGCAAGTGCATCCATTCGTTGTGCTCTCTCTCTCTCTCAAATCATAATCTTCTGGATTCATCAGCACTTTCTCTACTTTTGTCTTTCTAACCTTATCTCAATGAATTATTATACTTCATGAATAATATCTTCAAACCCTAGTCTTCTTCCTTACCATTAATACTTCTACTATCTCTACTATCAATATATGGGATTTGATTTGACATTTGCGTCTCTGTGCTAATGTGATGGTATGGCAACATGAACTTATGCACATACGTAGCTGCTACCTTGACGTGGTGGTCGGGCTTGCCTATCGTGATGACCCAACTGAGCTATATTGGCTGGAACATGTGTTCCTGCAGGTCCTACCATGCCACGCAGGTCGATTGGACAACGATGAAACTAAGAGCAGCTACCCAAGGTCTGAGGGCGAAGTCGTACTGCTGACTATTGCAGAGGGGTGTGACAGCAGTAAGGTGTTTCCCTCGGACAACCAGCATCTGCAGCGATGCTGCCTTCTCACAAGGAAGGAAGGGTTAGAAAAGGTCGACCCTAAAAATGTCACACCTCACCCTACCTCATGGATTTCCGTCTCCTTGGGTAAGGGTGCCCACTAAGGGCCTTTAAGAACGGAGCTAATCCTCAAAAAACATTTCATAAAAAGGCCGTGCGTGACCGGCCTCAAGCAGTTGTCCCTTGGACTCTGCGGTCACGCACCAACACTAATCTATCTTCCTTTTCAGGTTCCTCAAGAAACAACCTTCCACAGTGTGGGCAGCATTTAATGTACAGACATTGTGTCAAATAGGGCAACAGGCTTCCTTAGCTAGGACTTTAGAATCTCGTGGTATCGATGTATGCTGCGTCCCGAAAACGCGCATACAGGATCCGAGTAGCATCATTCACTTGACTTCACCATGTCAAGATAAAGAAGCAACTCGATTTACCCTTCGTGTATCCGGTAGCCCTGATGCTGCTTCCAGGGGTCTCGTTGGTGTAGGTATAGTATTGAGTCGTGGGGTTGAACAATCTCTCCTTGACTGGTTCCCTGTAGATAGTCGCTTGTGCGCCGTCCGACTAAACGTGACAGTAAGGATTCGAAAGGATGGGGACACTCGTCGTTGCCTCTTCGTCATATCAGCCTACGCCCCCACTGACTGCAGTCCAGACGATGTAAAAGATGAGTTTTACAGAAAGCTTTCACAATTCCTCCAAAAAGCCAGGCGTTCTGATATAGTAATAATGGCTGGTGACTTCAATGCTCAAGTAGGTAGATAAAGTGAAAATGAAAGACACCTAGGTGGATGTTATGGTCTCGCGGCTCAGAGAACAGACAATGGTGACCGTCTGTTGCAAGCATGCTCAGACAACCGCCTATTCTTAGCAAACACTAACTTTAGGCATAAGGAAAAGCATCTGTTGACCTGGCGACCTCCAAAGTCGTCTCAACGTTGGACTCAACTAGATCACATCGTCATCAGCCACCGATGGAGGGGTTTGATGGAAGACTGTCGCTCGTTCTGGGGCACATGTTTAGATTCAGATCATGCCCTATTGCAGC